TGAATTTTCAGTGCTTGAGGGTGTTTTAAAGAAATGCTGATGAAAATAGACACTAGAGAGATTATGTAACAATGACTGGAGAAAATTACATAATGAGGATCTTCATAATTTTTATTCATGTTTTACTGTCACTGGGGTAATTAAAACAAGAATGCAATGAGCTAAACAAAAAGAACATTAGGAAAAATGGGAAATACATAATTGTAGTTATAAATTGTCAAACACCAGTTGCAAGATGTAGGTTTGATGGGAGAATAATATTAAAGTGGATGTTGGAGAAACAGGATTTAACTGGCTCAGGATTGGATCCAGTGGTGGGTGGTCTTTTGTGGACAGTGATGAAATGCCTTCCATAGCAGTAAAGAATTTCTTGACGAGCTGAATGTCTACTTTTGAAAGGAAGACTCTGTACCATGGAGTTAGTAACTTGTCAGTGCAGGTAGTTCTGCTTTGCAGATTGTCTGGGCTTCGTAGCTTCTTAAAATAACACTGCAAACAACCTTTATGCTCACCATCAATTCTATTATTGACAATGATAGGATATGGAGGAAGTGGACCAATACTCTCCAACACTTGTATATCCTTTCCTCCATCTTGCAGGTACTTTTTATTGTAGGCTAGAGTATTTGCATCTACTGCTGCTGCCTCCGCTTGCTTTGTGAGCACCATGTGGATAGAATTGAGGTGTGATCCGGATCCTAAGAAGCGAAAGGTTTTGTGTCAGTTGATGTCTACGGAACCAACATCTGGTGTCATTCTTAGAATTGGACTGATGTGATGTTGGACTGGATTATTAAATACTATTTAGGCAAGTTTTAAAGGGTTAATAAATAGGACTGAAGTTCCTAATTATAATAAACAGATGTAAGTGGGAGTTGTGACAAAGTGTAAAAAATTGGAGGCTTCCACCTGAAGAATAATGAAATTCAAATGTGGAGCATGGAATGCAGACAGCTCCAAGAACTGAAGCAGTTACTCACTCAAAGTATCGCCAAAGAATGAGGCATTTTCACCCAGTTCTTTAAGAGTTTTCAAGATCACTTTGCTTGCACTTAGTGAGTCCTCATCACTGTATGCCAACCTGCAGCCACGGAGATCCAAAAACTCCTTTACACGTTTTCTGAAATAAAACAGTGACACTTGTTTTTCTTTAATTATTCTAGTGGTAAAATTAAAAACATTTTCACAAGATAAGTTCACTGAAATCTGAAAGTGTAATTGTTTTTAATTTTCATTCTGGCTTTTGACAAAATCCCTATATCACTTTCCATAGACATGTAAAAGTGAAAGTTCAAAATTGTAACTCACCTTCCATCAACATGAATAATGACATCAGAATAATATCCCTTAACTCCTTCAGTTTTCTTGGGATGATCAAATACAGCTGTGACTGGTAGCAATTCAACATATTTATTCTGTGTGTCAAGTAACTTCACATAAGCTGATGCAGTTGAGAAACCTATAAAACGTGACAAGAGTGTTCCTCTGAAACGTTGGTAGTGTTTCTTTCGTACAGCGCTACGGTCACCATGACACAATTCACTATTTACCATTTTGTTATACAACCTTTATTGATCACATGTCATAGCTCATGTGTGGTGCAACTGGGAATGTGTGATGGGAGCATGCCAGTACCTACAAACCACAGAGTTAACATCCAGTTGGCAGCACTGTAGTGCAGGGTTTTAAATCCCCTTCTCCTATATGATAAAGGTCAACTTTTATCATACAAGACAGAGAATTAAACCCTCCATTCTACAGGGCTGCCAGCTGGATTTTAACTTGGGGATTAGGGGTTTAGTTGGATGCTTCCTACTGCAAAACATGGTAAACTGGACCTCCCATAAGCAGTGATGCATCAAGTTTCTGCGGTGTTTGGTACATACAGGTGTTTCACTATATACAAAGTGTGGAATATTCAGTTATCACTTTCATAAGAACAATAGTGTTATCCAATTACCTTTTGTACAGGAAAAATGGGGCAGTGGTAATTGCTTATAGTGAAGTGGATCATCCTGCAGCTTTTCTGACTTACCGATATCTGCAGAGTCATCTGTGAATGGATCCAGTCTATCAGAAAGTTGCCCTGGACTTCTGGACTCATATAGAAGTGAAGCCTCACAGCCAGTTTCTTCCTCTAGATACTGCAAGATCAACTCATACAGCTCCACTGGATGACTAGGACACATATATGTGATGATGCGCAGCTTTGGTTGTGGGTTTTCCATTGGCAGTCCTGTTACAAGGGCATTTCCCTTACAGTTGATAACTTCACTGACTAGCCAAAGAACATATACATTCTAATTATCCAGCATACTGACTTGTCAAATAAGTCTGCTCTTCCATGATATCATTTACTTCACTTCAGTATGCACATTCCTCTGAATTTAAATCTTGAATAACAATAGACTACTAAGGCATAGTTCAGTATGACAACCAATTCCCAAAAGACAGGAACACAGCCAGCATACTGAAATGAAAACTAAACTTCTGTTACCAAATTCATACTTGTCAGAACAAATATGAAGTACAGTGTGTTTAAATATGAACAAAATATTTTACTCATTCATTTATTTGTCCAGCAACAACACACATTAATGTGAATGGAAATGGCAATAAGGCTTTAGTGTGTATTAAGCAATATTCCTGTATGCTCAATCCTATGCTTTTTGCCTGGTTCCCCCTTACCACCACCACCATTCCTAATTTTTTCTGGTTTTTCAAGAAAATTCTCAATGTGGGTGACATTCTGCAGAATATATTAATGCATCTTTGTGTCAGGGTACCTCATATTATTAACGAAATGGCATCCAGGATTCATTACCCATCAAGGGCTTGGGGTTTTAGCTTCCCTACCTCATATATAGGTTATGGGATTACCCAGCCACCTAACCAATAGATACTGGGATCATATGCCGTGGAGCGTAATAATGACGTCATTAGACAGCAGAAGGTAAGAATGCCAACCACTTCCCCTATAAGCTTTCAGGGCCTATCAGACGTTTTCACCAAACTGTGCTTGCTACATAAGCTACGAGTTCTGAAAAATGCCTGTTTAGAAAATTGAAAATGAGCAGAAACCGAACACGTCTTCCGCGCGAAAGATGAATTCAATTTTTATACACCCTTGTAAAGCCGCTCTACCTCAATAATTGGATTCACCTTCGTAATTCTGAATTACTGTGCGTGAAGAAATACTTTATACAGTCGCATGTATTCTTTATTCTAGTATCACACAAAATATGATAAACATTGGTGACGATCATTTGCGGGCTTTGTACCTTTTACTTTTATTCCATTGAACACTGTGATCAACATGGAATACGGTATGACAGTAACACCTTGCATAAAAGATATATTGAAATATTGAAAATAAATATGTCGTTGTTATTGAAACTTATTCATACCTTTGAATTTCTAGTGCACATTACTCACCGTCAGTCCCGAATAGAGCAGATAACGAATTACACAAACCGCAACAGAAAGAAGAAAACCTCAGACAGCTGATATCCTTGACTTCTCCTCTAACATGCGAAGGAATGGAGTGGTAGCACTGAGTCAACCTGTTGCAATCAAAGCTGTCTCGTGACGTGTATAGCAAACAAAGAATACGATTTTAATTAACAGTTTCTTAGTATTTTCACTACAAAGAGTGTACCAAACAGTAAAAATGAGCAATATTCTGTACTACTTTCTTTTCCGATAATCCTGTTTCCCCCTCACTAGTTATTAGTAGACGTTATTACAGTGAACACGATCACGTGTAAGATCCGTTCCTTCCGATGCGGAGTATTCAAACTAGACATCTTCGTGTTTCATGCGTGTGGCGTCAGATAACCAAAACGCTGTTTGTGATGGACATAAACGTAACGTGTTTTGAAGTAATGTAAATTAGATTTTAATAACCTCAAATATTCAACTGTAAGTTAGTATGATATGTGAATATTTACGAAAATCTTATATTGCCGATCAACAGTTACATGCGAGACCATTTCAGGCTATGATTATACTGCGATGTTTGTGTTACGTGACATTCATATAGCGTTTTAAACTGAAATTATTATGATTTTATAACACTGAACTGATAAATTAGTCATATTTATGGAATCTAAAACCAAACATGAAGAGAGTGTGTAGTTTATGCAGCTTATGAAATAGGTTACAAATCGCTCGTCAAGTGTTTTTTTTATCTCTGCTATTATGAACGCGAATTTGGCTGGCTGCTTCTGTGTCAGTTCTCACTGATCATTCTTTGCTCCACATTATGAAGGAAATAATACTGAACCGCCTGTCTTCAGCCGTTAACACGAAGAGCATTGGGGATACATTTAGTTTACTTCAAGCTGAAGAGGTAAGACCAACTGCTTCCTGTTTATCACATTTATTCATATTAAGTTCCCCGAATTCTTGCATATCCTTCTAACAAAGTAATTTTCAAGTCAAATACAAAATTAGTGTTCTACAAATCACTTACTGTGAGTTATCAAAATAGTTTCTTGCTGCTTTGACGAGTTAAGGTGGGCTGGCTTGTTCGTTCACTTTGCAGGTCTGGAGGATGGTGAAAATATCGTATAAGTTTTTCAGGGTGACACAAACGGACGAAAGTCCCACCGACCATTTCAAACACACGGCCGACGAGGAACGATCATCCGTACGTGGCACCAATACAATTAACCATATTACATTCATGGCTTTGATAGCTCTAACTGGTTTCTTGAAAATGTGAATCCCATTTCTGGGTGTTTAATTCTTGTCGACAAGAATTAAATAGGCCTTCATAATTTTCCCGCTGACCGCGGGTTCAACGTCACTGCGTTACAGAGAGAGGTCATCTGTAGTGATCAAATTCCATAGCCCTGTAGTAGTTTGTTGTTTCATTTATGACGAAACACTAACAGGGGCCATGGTATAATCATACTTTGACTGCCTGTTAACAGACTACATAATCACGCCTATCTGGGGTGAGTGTATTGACATCTGATTGTTTATGCCAGACGGAAGTTAAAATTTGTAATGAACCAGTTTTGATCGCACACACAAGCACAGTTGTGAAATTAAACTTGGATTTGTTATGGCAAAAATTATTAATTATACAACTGAAATTCTAAGTAACCCGTTGAATTATTCATCTGTGCCCGCGGCTACAGCTGACGTAAGTAGCCTTGTTTTAGACGCCATGATAATTTAACAGTGGCTTGATTCGTGAGTTATTAATAATGTTGTGTTTATTGTAGATGTTATTTACCCTCTTGCTTGTTAGTTTTATTTATTATACTTTGTTTATTTTATAAGGAAAATTGGCTTATAGTATCATAATGTCCGTGTGTCTAGTCCGTATAAAATTTGAAATAAATGAGAAATTTTTATGCAAGATCTTTTGAACATAATATTCTTTAAAGACAAACCGACTTAATAACAGTTTGTTACTATGTGGACTGAATTGAACAGGTTCAGATGCCAAACTTCTGCGAACAATGTATTAAGCCTTCGTGTGGCATCAAAGGCACCGAATTTTTTGACTGGATGAGTTACTATTAGCTTCTGGCGGACTCTGTTCCGTGAAGACATGCCTTGTCATTAACTTTGCTCTCGGCTGGCTTGTATCAGAGCACAATACGGTACAGACTATTGAGGTTGCGACTAGACTGACGTGTACAGTTAACATTCGTGTATATGTACGGACGTAATCATTTAGTTTTTCATTCGCAGAGTATTTTTATCAGAGGAATGTGGGTCTTCCTAAATTTCAGGAGTCTTGATGGAATGTTGTTAATGCGTAATAATGTTGTTTCCGTAACATGTTGTACACTGAAGTTGTCCGATTAAACTGAAGGCCAATGCATACCGATGCCCTCGAACTTGAGTTGTTACGTGCAGGGGTGGACAAAAGATACGGCCCGCGGGTCTGAATCAGCAGGAGATAATTTTTCTTTCTTATATGTACAGTTGAAAGGAAATATTGTAGTACATATATCTATATTGTGAGATTATGAAATCCAGTTGGATGGCGTTTATTTGCGGTTACGAACGAGATATTTAAATGATGCGGACCTGAAAGAGAACTATGACTTACACGGCCGACATAAATAGTCCTCAGTAACGATACTAGATGGCAAAATGCTTTATTCTATAACTGATGTTACCATTAGAAAGCTTTTAGAAGTATTTTAATATGGGCGACGAAAACGTTGAAATAACGGTAATGGGAAGGGATAAATGAATGACAGGAAAGGGGTAAGTGATGATGATATGATTGACTTCATTTCAGTTCAGTTTAATCCCGATGTAAAAGCACAAGAGCTCTCAAATTTCCTTGTGCTGAACGTAGCCACCCCATTCGCTGGTCGCCGTCATACACAGGTGATTGAGTGCGCGTATTCACAAAAAGCAGTCCTTCGTCTGCCATCAAATTTTAGTAATATTTGGAACATTAAAACATTGTTTGTTGTGTGAAGTGGTTAGGCCTTCCTAAGTACAAGTATTCACTGCACAGAATTATTTTGAACGTCTGACACTTCACAATTCTAATAATTTCCCTTTGAATTTTAACAAGCCCTTTCCACCAGTATGCCTAGATGAATAACAAGTTAGCAAATGTACGCATAGCTTGACAATTATGGCGCGTTCGCTCTGTTACCACATCTAGATTCTCAATTTGTGAACCGTCGTGGAGGGCAGCTGTTTGTTTGGCCAGAATTTGCGAATGCAGCCAGTGACGTCAGAGTTATTTGGGACCAATGATCTTTCCGTGCGCGGGTGTGTCATCACGGGGATTCCCCCCACGTAATTCTTTAAACTCCTGTCTGCCTGGGGAGTCCTCTGAGATTTCCAATGTATGCATTCCCCATCCAGTTACACTTAGCACGTGTTTATTAATGTTTTTATGTATGTTCTTCCTAGTTCTTCGTTGATGTTTTTCTTACATTTATGATTCGTCGGTCTGAATCCTCCGACCTCTGTGACGAAAAGAATTTGTTATCACACAGAAGCATGGATATCAGATTAAAGTGATCATATTTTAACTACTGAACAAAATAATATTATTTCACATATCTTTTCATACGTTTACAAAAGTTTTCCAGATCCTCTCCTTATCTATTTGCACAACACCCATTTTATAAGATAGTGTAATTGCGTCATATTGTGAATATTATAACAATTATTTATTTTAATCCGTCTGATCACAATATAATTTTTTATTTAAAATTTCTTATAATTAAGATAATAAAATATCATTCATGTTCCAATATCGATTGATCGATTTACATTTCGGAACATTTACATAACATGTTTCGGTTTTTTATAAAACCATAATTTTATTATCTTAATTATAAGAAATTTTAAATAAAAAATTATATTGTGATCAGACGGATTAAAATAAATAATTGTTACCCATTTTATGTACACGTTGTGCATTAAAGGGGGAAAAACATGCATCAGGCTTATATTACGCGAATATAAAATATCGGCAATGCAGCCAGTTACTTAGACGACAAGTAGAAGCGCCTTGCTTTCAAAACATTTACTTAACAGAAGCGAAATTACCAAGTTTTGTACTTGTTTTATGGATGCATTCTAAGTTCAATTTCAGGTTCTCACGGTGACGAGTATTAAGATGACAGCCTTCTGGCATACTGTGCCACGTAGTTTCGTAGAAGTTGAACGACGTTTCATCAGGTCAATTCACTACACGTTCAATCCTTTTATCCTCCTTGATTTGATCAACTTAATTACATCAAGTGAAGTGTACAGAAGTGTGCAAATTTAATCCTATATAAGCAGAAGATACTTAAATAATATTTTAAAAGTCCGTTCCTACCTCCAAGAAAATACACTGCACCTCCGTTACAAAGATAAGCCGAAATATTCACTGTTCATTCTGAGAACCAAAAGAACCTTACGTATGAACGAACAACGCTGACCAAATTTCGTGTCACTGACATAAAAACAAGTGTTGCACATAGCTATCTATACCCTATTAAAATTAAAATAAAGTTAAATTATTAAATATATAGATTCTACTCGCACTGTCCACCTCAATGAAAACACTTCAAAGGACACCAATGGTGCTTCAGCACAACAAACTGATGATCACTGACTCAGAAACCAACATAGACAGAACAAAGACACCAATTAGTTTTCAATCCATCACTTTAAACCCTTCGTCATCGCAGTGAATTAAAATTAGAGCAACAAACAACTGATCGCACTGGGCACTTGGCCATACACGACGTCACAAACAGTGGCGCCGACGACTTGGCTGTGGAATGTCGCGGGGTTGAGCCCGACGGCTTTCCGGTCGAAGACTGGCAGTTGCCGTGAGACGGAACTGAAGACAAGTGTTAGTATTTAGGTCACTATCGCTGCAGCAACAGCTCCGCTATGTGGCTAACAGGATATTTAATCATTATAGCCTTCTTCAAGACAGCGAATCGCAATGTCTTGTCGTTCTTCATTCATTTCAGTAGCCTCACGTACTTTGTGACGAACTGGCGTTCTGTAAGTCCTTGAATCGAATCTCGGGATGTATCCTGACGGGTTTAAAATAGTCAAGCACTTCTCTTCCATATAACATTAACATATGATTTAGGCCAGCATTAAAAGTTTGTCTTGTATCTCACTCCTACTCTGTAAAACTTACTTAACATGAAAATTCTTAGAGATTCTAGATGTTTATGTAAATAAGTGAACCACTATATATTTATATTTGTATTGGTATTGTATTTGTACTTGAAGAAATTCGCGTAGTAGCCATGTTGGGATTGTTGAGGGTAGATAATTAACGCATACATATAGCTGCAAATATCCCATAATATAAATATATATAATAATCATTTGAAGAAAGAACGTTATGTAGATTTGTAGGTTGGCCTACAAGTGTTTTGAAACGAAGTGTTCGAGAAGATGGCGTTAGTGAA